TTAACTTAAGTCTTTAAATCAGGGATTTTAAGTAATTTTGATTAACTTAATTATCAATCAACATGTACGCTAAAAAAATAATTTAAAATAGAATTAGATGCCAGTGGCATTTATTTACAATACTGTTTAAAAGAGCACGTCATTAAAAAAAATATAATTACATTGTAAATGGTTCACAATTTATTTCGCAAGCTTTGTTTTGAGTGGATGCAAACATTTTGAATTCAATCTTAGCTATTTATCAGCATTGTATCATCAAGCAAAGGGTTTTAGATTTGAAAGTTCATTACTATTTTTTTAATAATTTTTTTCAATTACTTTACACTGTAAAGTTTACAGTGTTATGAAGCGATTCTAGAGAAATGAAAATGTCACAATTTTAGGGTATGTCCAGTGTTCACTGTCCAATCACGTGAAAAATGATTATGATTTATTACAATGTACCTTTAATATAAGTGTTATATTATATCTGATAAAAATGATTTATTGGTTCTTCAGTTCTTAATGGAATAAAAACAAAATGCGAAGTGGTGATAAAACACATATGTTGACGGACTATTGAGAAGTTCTAAGCAATCCATTTTACGTAAAATGACATCATGTTTTTGACATCAAAAACACTAAAACCGTTTTCTACGATAAATTGTTTTCCTTGACTTTTTAATATGATATAGTTACATGTAAGTAGGGTAAATGTTTAAGAAAAACATTTCAATTTTGTATAAACGTTTTAATTATTCATTTTTTCAATGTTGAAAATTGTTATATTGTCAACTATAATAAAACATCGTAAAAGTACAATCGTGTATAATTATATTTTCCAGTTATTGTTTGTATGCATGCATTTTGTTATTAAAAATTATGCTTTTAAATAGTAGATTACCAATAATCACTAGCTCTAATTTTCGTGATTTGGATCTTTGTTATAAATTGAATAACGAACTATTAGGCAAGGGAATAACAAAACGTAGACCGAAAAAGTTCAAATTAATTATGAAATTGTATCAATAAATGTTAATTTTCATAATGTATTCATCGAGCAGTGGTAATATCAAAAAAAAAAAAAAAAAAAATAAAACAAAGTATCCGTGTAAAATATAAATTATAAAATAAATGTTTTGCAAAAAATCTATTTTCAGAAACAATACTCCTACTATTATAGAAAGTTTAAAAATATTATAGAAGAAGTTTAAGAACGGTTAATGTAAATCTTTATCATTTAGATATATTTGATTGTTTGTTTTTTGTTATGCTGAAAAGTTTATTAGAAATTGTATTGCTGTGTTTAAAGGCAATCAAGACAGTTAATTAGTTTAAAATATCGGAGAGAAAATGAACAAAAACTTTAAGAAAAAAAAAGATTTTTATCGCTGTACATTGCATCGATGATGTTCTTGGTAAATGTTTTCCAAAGGATGAGGGAGGTTCTCTCATATCATTATTATTTTTCTTTGATAGTAAATGATAAAACCGTTATACGGAAGAGCTGTGAATAACAAATAAAAAACAATATTGTCCGTATAATCATAACGTTGAACAACTATAATATAAGTATGTTAACAAGAAGAAATGTATGCATGTGACATAGGAGTGAAATCATGAAAACTCTTAAAATGTAGTTACAATAGGGACTACAAAATATTAAAAAATGTACATTATAGACTTGTTATGAGTATAATTGATAAAAATGTTTATATTTTTCTCACTAGAAATGTAACTATACAGTTTTATAAAGTCATTTTTATTTTTTATCTTAGTGAACTGGTAATAAAGTAAGTTAGTGCATATTAAGTAATAAGTAAAGTAGATGAAGTAAAAGCTACGAAATTCAAATTACCACTTACGCATTTAATTTAAAACAACAAATATTATAAATTACAATTCATATAACCAAAAATAATATTTTTGAAATATTTTAAAATTAGAACATTAGATGTAATATTAAATAAGTAATAAAATGTTATTTTTTGTTAAAAAAAACATGATGATTTTTAAACAGTATTATTCTTAATGGTGAAAAATTATTTACCATAGTATTTATAAAAATATATAATACGCTGTTATTTATTACATCTATGTGCAAACAAAAACACATAATTAGTAGATATTATATGTATATGTAATATCCCAATGCGTTTTATTTTATTAAAAATTAAGATTAAATCCTAAAACATATAAAAGCATTACAATTGCTAAAAATCAAAATTAAAAAAAAATTATGTTAACAAATTAATGTGAATAAATAATAACTTATTGTTTAAACTTAAACTCAGATAATTCGGGCCATTATAAAATCCAAGTTTTAAATGTATTAAATGATATTGGAACAGACTTTTTTTTTATTTAAAAATACCATTAAAATTTACTGAAGTGCTATCCAAGTATACACTTTGTTATTAAAGTTCAAGGGTCCGTCGAAAATAGCTTAATGCTAATTACGAAAATACCATTTTAAAGTAAAATTATACTTGTAATACTTTTTTGCTTTGATGCCTTTATATATTTGAAAGAGGTGTAGTACATTTTTTTTTCTATGAGTCAAATTCACCTATTTTCACTGGAGTAAGGTCTATTTTTTTTAATTAGATATTTTTTTATTGTACTACCTCGTTATAAAGTACTTGTTTTTAACATCGGTAACTTGAGAAATAAAGACAAAGTGAATAGCATTATATATATGGCATTTAATATATGGTCATGTACACATATATTTTTATTGTAAACATACGAGTTTTCACGCTGAATTAACTTAATAAATATAAAAATTATAATGCTAAAATTTATAGCAAGAGAATTGTAAAATTTTGTGTCTAGTTATAATTTTGCTATAAGTCCAGGTTATAGTAATTTACAAAACAAATTTAATCGTGGTATCTACTTACTCAAATATATTATAATACGTACATAACGTATAGATTTATTGTTTTGTTAAATTAAATAGAGTTTAATAAAGTAGAAATTCAAATCACATTGGTAGAATTTGTAAATTGATACGAAATTAATTTATGCATAAAGTAAAAGATTGCTATAATTATTTAATCCAAAATCCTGTTAATTAATTATTCTTTTATTAAGGTATTTGAAAAAATTATTTTGATAAATTATACATTAAAAATGTGCACACAAACGTAAACTGTCAAATTTATGATTTGACTGAACCAAGACTGTTAGAATTTATCATTAACAATTAATATAATTTGCACCTAATTATTATAGAAATCGACGAATCGTTAATTTATTGAATTGGTTTCTGAATGATGATAAACTGTTAAATACTAACGCAAAAATAACTGTGTTTCTTTAATTACATTTCAAGATAATACATTGTCATTTTAAAATGATTTAATTTATGTATAAAACTTGTCATTTGGAGGAGATTTCCCTCAGAGAACGACCCTGCATTAATGTCATGTCATATAACGTTCGCAACAAATTGCGTAAGTCATTTCATGATGGGGTTAAATTTCAATTTAACTTGCATTCAACTGAATATATATTGTGTACACATATTGACATGTTGTCAACGAAAAGTAAAATAACAAAAATCAAAGTTTATCTGCATGTAACTAAAACGGGCATAACACTTTTTCATAATATTATACCATTTCTTCTCACCGTCAAACGATTTAACGGCCGACATCCGCATTTACCTAAAATCTAAATACATGTAAGGTATATAGAGTATATGTATACCATACAAATAAATTTTGAAATTTTGAAATGAATGAAATAATAGCATATAACGTAGTTCAATATTATCAATATGTCAGGAAAAGTATTTTGGATTTTTTTATTATTTACGCGTATCATATAGGAAACATAATAAAACGTTGATTTAAAATACATTTTGTCAATATAATATGTTATAAAATAGATATCATACAAATAATTAATACTTAATAATTTACCAATTATTTTATTAGAATATAGTGATGGTGTAATCTTTTCAGTCATCGATATTAATACAAAAAATATGCAATAGTATAATTTAATTTATATGGTATTCGGTAATGGACTTAAATAATGATAATAATAATAATAATAAAAAAAATAATGGTTTTTGATGTTAATAGATATCAGCCGTTATTTAATTTGGTGGAAAAAGAAAAGGTATACTTTCGGTATAATCTTTCATTTAAAACGACTATAATTCACCTTAGATACAACAGTTGTATATTTTATTATCTATTATGTACCTGTATACATTATTATACGTATAATGTATACATATATAATTAAGCAAAGATATAAAAACAATAGTACATTATTTGTTACTATAATAATATTGGTTTTAACATGTTTAAGATTTCGTCAGTTCATCGTTTACTTTTGTGCATCGCACTGATACAAAATGGGATGATGAATACTCCATTTATTATACAAATAATCGTGACATTAACGTTTGTCTGATTAAAATTCTATACTATTTTTTATATAATAATCGTTCAAAGAAATAAAATGCTGACGAATAAAGTAATCAAGAGACTGAATCTTACTGAGTATTTTACTTTTAAGTCAAGTGAAAAATGTAAAGAAAACATAATATTTTTCACAACAGTATGAAATCAAAAAATAATAAACTACACCATCTACTGTGTCGTTAGAAATAATAATATTCTGTAATACTCGTGATACCGATTTTTAAAAGAAGACTCTTCAAATGTCCTTCTACTCGGAATATAGATAATATTTTCCGTTAATAACTTAACGTACTAAAATTGATATGAATTAAAAAAAGTTTTTTTTCTTACATCGGGCCTTATTTATTTTGTATTGATGTGGTTTCGAATCGAAAAAAAAAATAATATTATGGGTTGAACATATAATATTATAACAGAATTATAAGTGTGGGTAAAAGTTTTTTCTTTTATAAAATAACCATTTTATTATAATATTGACATAGTTGATATACGATCGTAGTCAACGATATAGCCCGAATAATATAAAATATAAATTAGAAATATTATAATGATATATTGTTACAATGGAGGTATTCTTACTTTTTTCAAATCCTTGCCTGAGTCACTCCGGTCGTCTGCCAAGTATTTACGTTTGTTTGTAATGAGCTCTTCGTCGGTCTGGAAAAAAAAAATAAAAAAATAGTTGATAAAATGAGACAGTAAAAAGAGACTCAAAGAAATATATATTATTTTTTCTGAAAGTCAGAGGTCCTTTCTGCGTATACGCATATGCTGTAGATGTTAAAATGCCCATTGAAATATGGACACTCGACAAAACTCTGGTGTCTGACACTTGAACACTATGACTTTGACTTAAAATTATATTACAAGGTATTTTATTCTTATTTTATTTATTTTCATTATTATATGTGCCAACAGACCTCAATGACAAGTTAGTTTTTTTTTTTTTATTTATAAGTTTTTAAATTATAAGTTTAATATCAATCTCGTATCTCGTAATCTAGATTTTTCTAAATTTATAATAACAGGCACAATGAATGATACAATAAGGAAATTATATTGTGTAAAAACTATAATTAATTAACTATTTAGGAAGGCAGAAGAGCATAAGTACCAGTTGATTTCAGCACTAATAAAGTAATAATTTTAAGATAAAGAAAGGTCTTCGTAACAAAAATATTTAAACTTAAATCTTTTGTTTTTAATCCTGAAAGGAATGAGTATTGGTTTTTACAATGATGTTTTTTTTCTGCTAGGTCACGTTTTGGAATGAAAAAACAAAAATGATTGAATTTTAAAATTGAAAGTAGTTTTTGGTTATAAATTTAATCTAAGAAGTCAAAGAGAAGAATACTAAAAAATTCTCTTAATCATTGAAAAAACAGCGGAAAACAGGAATATATTTTACGCAACACAAATTTTTGATAAAATTGGTTTTGATTTTTTGTTAAAACTCTGAAAGAAAACCACTGGGATTTAACACTTTTACTGTGCAAATATTTAAAAAGGCATTTTTTGAATACAATGAAATTTTTAAAATATACAACTTATTTTATGGTGTTCACATTACGTCATTTTTACGTTCTCCTATTCGCATTCTTCTACGGTACGCAGTATTGAATAAGTTAAAAGCAATAATGTATGATATGCTATTATAATAATTAATAATAGATAATTTTTAAGCAAAAATTAATTCAATAAAATAATAATAATAATAATAAAATAAAAAAATATAGTTTAATAAGTTTTAACAGAAACTACCTGTTTTAAGAAACAAATACTAATTCCTTAAATCCCTTCACTAAGAAACATTTTTTCGTTTAAAGTAATTTAATTTCTAGTATATTCATTACAATGATTAACACAACCACAAAATTATTATCTATTATAGTGGACGGAAAATCAAATTTTCTGGTTTTTGTGTATAGGTATTTCACATTTTTATTATTGGAGTTTAATTTAAAAAAAATAATAGTTGGTAAAATGAAAGATCTTAACAAATTAAATAATATTTCTTGTTCCTATAATTCGTATATATTTAAGAATGTTGATTTATTTTAATACCACATGAAAAATTATTAATTCTTGTTTACAAGATAAAAAAAAAAAAATTTCGTAAGTTTACCAAAAGAGGAAAATTATGTTTTTTTTTCATTATTATACGCCATAAACAATATTTAGAAGAAAGAAACGTCAACTTTTTGTGTGTCATAATAATTTCTTTAGAAATTATAAACTGTATACTCGCTATTTGGCATTTTAGTGAAGTCCCAGACATAAATGCTTTTATACTGGTTAAAAACTTTACTGGTGAAATTTTGGTTGTATACAATTATTTCTATAAAAACTTGTATTTTAAGACAAACATTTGTGATCATTATCGATAGCTGTAAAACGTAGATGCTATTTGGAAATCTGTAAGTTGCTCTTTCATTATTTAAATCCGTTAATCTCGACCTCAAGTTTAGTTTACTAATTACTACAGTTTTTTTAAAAAGTTTTTTATACACCGAAATAAATTAATTAACCAAAGATAATGGTTATAGTAAAATAATTCAAAATAAAAATGTTCTGTAAAAATATAGGTATCGTGTATAATGCAGTCGTTAAAAAAATTAAGGAAACATTAATGAAAATGGTAAAATAAATGTAGGTAGGTACGTACAAATAAAAAGCTTATAACACATAATGTAACTTTAATAAAAACAGACAATATACATGCGAAGTAAATGTATTATATTAGACTTTATATTCGCATGAATAAATAAAAACTAAAGAAAAAAAGAGAGACTGTTTGGATTGTGTAATTATGCTCTTTGCTTACACTCGTTTTGAATATTGTAAACAATGATCAATTTTTTATTTTTTATTTTTTTTTGTTGTATTTATAGTATATTTTATAGAAACACGAAACTAAGGTATTCTTATTGAATTTCGTACCGAACTAAAGAAACAACAATATTTTAAATAAATTGAAAATGTGTCCTATATATAACTCGTTGCCTCCATTGAAACTTACGAAACACCACCGTACAAGAACACCGAATCATATCGGTAAATGAATTTTATTTTTCTGCAAGTATTATATGAAATACGATTTTATACATTGATAACTATAATAATGTAGTGTAATATGTTTGTACTGAAACCAATATATTGTAAACTTGTATAATCATCATTGTGCTTTTGTTCGAATTTGTAATTTTGTTCGAGTCTCGTAAAATCACAAAAACTTTAATGTTATATTATATATAGGTGTACTATCTATATCAGTAACGTTATTGTAGTATGTGCGGTTTTCGCGATGCAATTGTTCGACTGTTTGAATATTATTTTACTCAACGATTCGCGTGAAAATTAAATTTTTTCATTGTGTTAGTTGTACATTTACCGATTTATGGCACAAATGAAAATAATAACATCAGTTGCAACGCCTGCATCACTACTTGATACCTTAAATAAGTTAATAAAAAGCGGGAAATAAGGTCAAACTTATAAAAATATATTATGTATAATATACAAAGTGATACATCGAGTATGCTCTCTCGCATTTTTTCATTTAATAATGAATTCATTCAATTTTGATACTTGGGATTTTTAAATATATTTAAACATTAAAGAGAATATTATTATAAAATTATTAAAATTTTATATACTACTTAAAAAATTTATATGGCGATACAAAATTATGTTTATTTAATAAAAACCCAGCTTTTTATCTTAACTTATTTAGTAGATAATTTTATTTTAAATATTTTGATGTACCGAATTCAAAATTCAAAAGAATGATTTTTTAATTATTAAAATGTTTACATGGAAGATAATAGTTTAAAAAATATATATAATGGGTGTAATTATGATCTAGTAATTATTATAATTGGAAAATTGTTATAAGTTTTAATTATTGATAGATAGATTGATATAAATTACTAAAGTTTTAAGAATTCTATATTTTCCAATAGTCTATTATCATGAGTCAATCGTTTTATAATTCTTAATACATGAAGTTAAATTATTCAAAAACTGGTAATTTAAATTTTGATTTTAAACCTTCAAAATTTTTAGAAAAATTATTTGTTAAATAATATTTTGTTTAAAAAGAGGTTGAATTTGAAAAACAGAAGTTAAATAAATCTTCATAGGAAACTTGTAGAGAAGTTTAAAATACAATTAATAGGTTTATTTAAAAATCTAAAAATCAGATTTTGAATAACTGCATTATTTTAAGTTTGCTGGGTGAATCATTTTCTATAGGTAAGTAAGTTTGCTTAAAAAACCATTGGTACGTAACGTTGTCATAATTTTACTTTTTATCACGCGTAATTGTCAACGTTGAGCACAGTGCTGGTCTGCAAACTACGTTGTCGGTCGTATAATATTATATTATTTATATAATATATGGTTGGTGGATCCCGCAAAATAAGGTACATAAAACCTATGTTAATTAATACAGATTTTATTCGAATTCGTGTGCAAATATCATTAGACCTGACGTGTGGCTATGAGGGGAAGATTCCACAGAAAATTTAATTTTGCAGATACTCCGCCATAATAATGATGATTATTATTATTTAGTTCCGGAGACACTGAATGTACTAATATATATATTATAATATAATATTAAAGTAATAAAGTGGCATTGTTTTATTGGTCAGTAATAGTTACCATACAATTTATACGTTAATAATAAGGACTAAGATTTTAATGATTTAAAAAAAACGCAAAAAAAAAAGTATACTTCATAAAGTATGCACATATTTCTTATGTTGAAAAAATGCGATAAAAAATGTATTTCTTACTATGAAAACGTCTTGTAAAATCGTGTTTTTTTTCAGAAGACAGATTGAAATATTATAATGACATTCAAATAAAAGTGTGTATTGTTATCGTCTTTTTTAATTTTTTGTTAATATAAAAAAATGGTGGTGACGTGGTGAATATTTACTGTGCACATTCAATATTATCATAACATTTCACCTTTAACAATAAAAAGGTTTGTGTTATTAAAACAATTGATAAAATAATTTAAGTTCACTAGAAAAAAGTATAGAAAAAATTCTTGAAAGTGCTCTAAAAACATAAAAAAATGTCCTTAAAAGTTAAATAATATTCAACTATAAATGTAAAATGAAAAAAAAACATTAGAATAATAAAAAAAAAAACACTTAAAATACATTTTCGACTACAATTTTTTTATATACAATCATATAAGTAAACATATGTAATATGTATGTCAAATAATCGGAAAAAGTATCAGCATTATTCAAATAATATAGTACTAATAACAATAAAAACAAAAAACAAAAACATTACAATTAGTAAAATTCAAAATACTTATTTATCTTAAAATAAATATTGATTTTAAGTGAAATCATTTTAGCAAAATATTGTTGAGGATATAATTTTATTTTAAAATTTTTATCAATAAATTCTTATCTTTTTAATTTTAAATATGTTTACTTAGGTCTAATACTAATTACGAACACGCTAAATATTTTTAGATTACCTGAAGCAACGGAAAACTGAAAAGGTGTAAAATATCAAAATGAGACGTACAATTGAAAAACGCCCAGCACAAAACATTTTTAAAAATGTTGATGTTTTCAGTTCAAAATATGAACGAGTAGTTTCTGAGTTATTGAAATGAATTTAATAAT